GTAGGGTTCTCATTGTGAGATCGACTGTTCCACCACCGCAATCAACGACGAGAAATGTATCTACGAAAATTAATAATAATCGTATTTGTTATTAAAACGATGCTAAAGTGTATCTAAATCTGAAACTAAAGCATTTCATTGTATTGGTAAATCAGGTCAATTGTTTTATTATTAGTCCATCATAACTGAATCTTTGCTTTTGAAGGCATCACATTAAATAAACACATTATTAAGCATATTTATGTTGTAAGTGGAAACGGAATTTAAGTGGATTCGGAATTTATATATAAAACCCCCGTTTTGGGTTGATTTTATCATATGTACACACTAACCCTAACCAAATCCACTTAAATTATATTCCCACTTACAACATTTACAAGGGGTGTGATCATTGTACTATCAAATAACATTCATTTGGCACGGATTATGATTTTAGAGTTATGGTATACGTAGTTTAGGCCATGATATGCTCATTATGTGATTATTGATTACTGGGTTAAGTGTCCTTCAAGCAAGGGAAAGCTACGGGCACAACATTTCAGGTGCTTATGTGCACAACAAATGGCCAAAATTAACATTCGAGTTAAGATTAGGGCTTATATGCGCAGCAATGGTTTGATTTATTACATGTGTATTGTGCTGTAGCTTTTGCCCTTCGCTCTTCAAATAACATGAATTCACGACATTAAGATATGCTAAAAATTTGTGTTACATCTGATCTTATGATCTATATAAAAGATTTTCCTTTTTCTGTTTGTATCACTTGCAAAGGCACCAAAATTACAAAACGGGAAACAATGACCTAATTAAATAACGTTAAGTTTAAATAACATTTTGAATACCCACCTCCTTCCTTTAATTTGTGTTCCTTAATAACTGATAAGCAGTGAATCGCTGCCGCTTCCGCTGTCGTTATGGAATAACGTGAATTCAATTAATGTAACTAACCGTTAAACAAGATGTAAAAGTAGTACGAAATAAAGATAATTACGTTCTGTCGTAAACTCTAAGTGTGATTCGATGGATTCGTCTAATCTGTAATTGAATTGTAAGCGATAAACAAGGTTACAAGGTAGAACTAAAATTCATAATTATAATAAAATCTATTTAATTACAATCCAGCTCTGTATGCGCAGTCGCGCATTATGGCTTTAGTATGTGGTCCCTAATGATAAAAAAAAAAAGGAATCGAGTGTTGTTAGTGACTCGCTTGTTTCTTAAACTTTTGACAGGTTAGTAACTTACCCATTCCGCAGGCACACATAAAACAAATTGTACTTGTGATAATTTAAGGCCTGGCCAACGCTTATCAAGTGTTTCTTTTATGACCTACAGTATTTAATCCGTAACTGATCAATATTCAAGCGAACTTATTTTAAGCTTACAAATACTCACTCCTTTCATTTTAATTAAATAATCACAAATAGCCTTTCTATAATCTAAACCTCGTGGTAAACATAGCCTGTTTGATTTATTTGATGCATTATCATCGAGAAATAATTTGAATCTTTCAATAACGCGGTGTTGTGGTAGAAGTGGCGAGCCCAATTCTTTATTATTCTTATTTTTACTTGGCACAGAAGTAACGCGGGTGCACCCCAATTTAATACTTCGGTACAATCACTATTATATAACAATACAGTATCTGTTTTGAAGGAAGGTTCTTTCCCGGGCCTAAATTACGATAAAAAGTCATTTAATTTTGTAATCGGTTCAATAGTAAATTATGATCTATCTGTAATAAATCTTAATGATTTCAAGATCACCATTGCGTATTCGTCTCAATTTCTCGAGAAATCTTATGTGCATAAGCGAAACCGCTGTTTGTTGTCCCAAAATCTTTTCATAAAAAAATATTGGTTTAAATGTCACTTTAATTAATAAATCTAATAAAAATAAATATCAGTAAGATACCAATCCCAACGACTACTCTTATATCATCCGACTGTTGGCGACGAAAAGAACTCATGGCAGATAATTAATTTGATAGTGGAAAAACATGGCTTAAATTTATAGATGAAACCTTGTGATATATCGAAAAGTAGTACAGTAAGTAATTAACTTTAAAGACTTTCATATTAATCCTGTTTATTCTTGAATTTCAATTTTTTATTGATAAAAACTTTACTGTATATGGGTTTACAGGTGACTACTTTCAGATTCTATCAACTTCCTAATCAAAGGGTCTGATCATCTATCGCTATCTGTTGTTGGTGAACTGTTAAAAATTCTCACGACAAAAATGTGAACAATGACAATTTTTGATGCTAGCTACACAGATGATCTCCGAATATCCGTGGCTGTGTATATATATGTATAAAGTAAAATACGTAATACTGTAGATTTTTCTAAAATATTTTTTTTCAAGTTCATTCTAAAATGAGCCGACATCATTATCCGTATTTTGGAAGGTTTTTGGGGTTATCTTTAATATTCATTATACTATAATAATATAACGGATTAGTAATAATAATCTGATCCATTGGGATTGATATAAGTTTTCGCTTTAATTAACACCTCGTGATCTTGATATAGTGATAGGGGTATTTTAAAATTATAAATTAAAATGATTAGTTTTCGTTTTAGATTATATATTTATAAATAATTTAATAACTTTAGTTTAAACTATAAAATTTATATAATTAAAGCAAATTATATTGAAGGGATTTCGTTTGATTTATTGATATAAATCAATTGCCTGGGTAACTTATTCATATACTTCAAAGTATTTTTTGGTAACAATTTTTCACTAACAAAATCATCACAAAAACCATTCATAGCTTTAAAGTGGCATCAATATTCACTATGCAAAAAAATCAAAAAAAGATCATACTCCTAGTGAACTTCGCTTAGAAGGCAAAATACACCTATTGTTTATTGAAACATTTTGTTCAAAAACTGCTTTATTATGTTAGATTTTTTATTGCTAACTATTGGATTTGAATGAGAAGAGGTTTATTAAAAAGAAGTTAAGTTTCGGGTATATGTTGGGTTCTTGCGTTGTGTTTGGTCTGTCAACTGTAATATGTTTTGGCTTATAGATTGTATTAATGAGTTTTGGTTTATTAATAATGAATACTGCCTTCTCTATCTTTTATATATTTGAAATAAATTAATAATGAATATCGCTTACTCTAACTTTTATATATTTGAAATAAATTAATAATGAATACCGCTTTCTCTATCTTATTTATATATTTGAAATAAATTAATAATGAATACCGCTTTCTCTATCTTTTATATATTTGAAATAAATTAATTCTTTTCCATATTTGTTAATTTATGAGCTTCTTCATACAAATTTTTTTCTAGTAGTATTAAAGCGATGAATATCAGGAACAGAATGATATTGAACATTTCACGAAGTGTATGGTCATACGGCAAATTAAATGGTGTATGTCCGCAAAGTATTTTATTGGATCATTTATGTACAAAGCAGGAATTTGAATGCATATAAGGAACTTCAAACGTAGCACCTTTACAGGGCATATGTAGTACTTTCTTCTGTATATAGGAATTTCTGCGCATGATTTATCCATACGTAAGTAACTGGTAGGGCTAGGTTCTATTCAGATCAAGTGTATAATGTATAATTATGTAATAAATATATAAAATCCAATAAAGTACTAGTGCGATCATTCAAATTGAATATATATATATATATATATTAATTTTTCTAAAATTATAAAAGTTTTAAGGGGCCCGGGACATTGAAGGGGTTAGGCCAGCCAGCACCCGAGAGTAAGCCTCGGCGAATGCACAAGATAGATTTGTAGTAGGGAATTAGTAGTAGAAAATGTTGAAACAAAAAAAATTATAAAAGTTTTTATTAATAAAAAATTGAAATTCAAGAATAAACAGGATTAATATGAAAGTATTTAAAGTTAATTACTTACTGT